TTTTAAGTTATCAATAGATACCTGACATGTTGAAGAATTTTGTTGTCAAGACTAGACAACTGTAGCTTGCTTTATTCAGGAATAATAAGATTCCCAATTTTAAGTATGTATATTCCCCCGCTTAAAAATAGCATCTCCAATGTTGATTATCTCATGAAGTATGCATTTCCAATATAATAGTCCCACTAAGAAGTTGCTCCAATATCATTATTCTACAACATATTTAAGTTTAACGAGATTCTAATTTTTTTTACCTATGAGGACCTGGATGTACAAAATGTTTTTTTGATTTTGAGGTTTTCAACTTTTGGACAATCGAAAATCGATTTTCCAAATATTGATGCTAGAGCCTTGAGACTAGCATGTTCCTATACCAGTTTTCTGCCCTCTAAACGATGGTGCAACTTATATTTGCGTAAATGACATAGTTGCCGAGAAATTTAAGATTTTCACAATTGGTTAATTTTGAATAGATGCTGCTAGTAAAACTTTTTAAATTACTATATGAATGTGGAATGTTCGTGTAGTAAAAGTTGTAGAAGGTGATTTTTATGACTAGGTCATGTTTGATGTGGGGTTATAGAGGGTGGTATGGATGAGTAATGACGGAAAATAGTCTAAATGATCAATTTTCAAAGGGCCATACCGCACGATTTTACTAAGTAAACGAGAGCTTAAAGCTTAGTAGCTTCTGTTTCCTTTTTAATTCTCTATACGATGGTATGGTTATTATAGATAAATAAAATAAAAAAATGAATATCCCCTGCTTGTAGCTCATAAAATATATGATTTTGAGCAGATTTATGAAGGGAACGTACATCTGGTACTTAAAACCTTTATATTATAATGGATATAACGTAGAGCTATCGAATGGTCTTTGTTTTGTGCGAATCCAGTGAGTATTTGTCGAGATATGGTCAAAAAAGAGTATCATGCAAAATCATGGATTTTTCCTCCAAATCTGCCTGTGATAGCAAGCGAAAAATCTGGTGACGATTTTTTGGTCAAGACAATATTGTCAATATTTCATGATAAAGTTATGCCAGAGCTTCAAGCGATAGCTCATTCGATAGGAAATTTTTTGGTCTAGAATGTTTAGTAATGCTTAACAAAATGTTCTGATGACAGATACTGATTAATCCTTAGAAAACAATCAAAGAATCGCAAAAACAGTCGTACCAAATATCAGGTGAACAATGTACACCAGAGACTTAATATAAATACCATTGTATTCTCCTTTGAGTTCTCTACAAGTTTCATATAAGTTTGAAGGGGTGTTTACTATCAAGAAACGCGTAATTTTAAGATTGATAGGTTTCAGAATCCCATGGACCATCATTCAGAACAATAGAAATTGAAGCTCCGTTGGCCTTCCGCATGTGTACACCTCACAAGGATGAATTTGACCGAGCATTTTAAAAATCGGAGCGTACGAAAAGGGCCATATTAACTTGTTGGTTTTAAGTTATCAATAGATACCTGACATGTTGAAGAATTTTGTTGTCAAGACTAGACAACTGTAGCTTGCTTTATTCAGGAATAATAAGATTCCCAATTTTAAGTATGTATATTCCCCCGCTTAAAAATAGCATCTCCAATGTTGATTATCTCATGAAGTATGCATTTCCAATATAATAGTCCCACTAAGAAGTTGCTCCAATATCATTATTCTACAACATATTTAAGTTTAACGAGATTCTAATTTTTTTTACCTATGAGGACCTGGATGTACAAAATGTTTTTTTGATTTTGAGGTTTTCAACTTTTGGACAATCGAAAATCGATTTTCCAAATATTGATGCTAGAGCCTTGAGACTAGCATGTTCCTATACCAGTTTTCTGCCCTCTAAACGATGGTGCAACTTATATTTGCGTAAATGACATAGTTGCCGAGAAATTTAAGATTTTCACAATTGGTTAATTTTGAATAGATGCTGCTAGTAAAACTTTTTAAATTACTATATGAATGTGGAATGTTCGTGTAGTAAAAGTTGTAGAAGGTGATTTTTATGACTAGGTCATGTTTGATGTGGGGTTATAGAGGGTGGTATGGATGAGTAATGACGGAAAATAGTCTAAATGATCAATTTTCAAAGGGCCATACCGCACGATTTTACTAAGTAAACGAGAGCTTAAAGCTTAGTAGCTTCTGTTTCCTTTTTAATTCTCTATACGATGGTATGGTTATTATAGATAAATAAAATAAAAAAATGAATATCCCCTGCTTGTAGCTCATAAAATATATGATTTTGAGCAGATTTATGAAGGGAACGTACATCTGGTACTTAAAACCTTTATATTATAATGGATATAACGTAGAGCTATCGAATGGTCTTTGTTTTGTGCGAATCCAGTGAGTATTTGTCGAGATATGGTCAAAAAAGAGTATCATGCAAAATCATGGATTTTTCCTCCAAATCTGCCTGTGATAGCAAGCGAAAAATCTGGTGACGATTTTTTGGTCAAGACAATATTGTCAATATTTCATGATAAAGTTATGCCAGAGCTTCAAGCGATAGCTCATTCGATAGGAAATTTTTTGGTCTAGAATGTTTAGTAATGCTTAACAAAATGTTCTGATGACAGATACTGATTAATCCTTAGAAAACAATCAAAGAATCGCAAAAACAGTCGTACCAAATATCAGGTGAACAATGTACACCAGAGACTTAATATAAATACCATTGTATTCTCCTTTGAGTTCTCTACAAGTTTCATATAAGTTTGAAGGGGTGTTTACTATCAAGAAACGCGTAATTTTAAGATTGATAGGTTTCAGAATCCCATGGACCATCATTCAGAACAATAGAAATTGAAGCTCCGTTGGCCTTCCGCATGTGTACACCTCACAAGGATGAATTTGACCGAGCATTTTAAAAATCGGAGCGTACGAAAAGGGCCATATTAACTTGTTGGTTTTAAGTTATCAATAGATACCTGACATGTTGAAGAATTTTGTTGTCAAGACTAGACAACTGTAGCTTGCTTTATTCAGGAATAATAAGATTCCCAATTTTAAGTATGTATATTCCCCCGCTTAAAAATAGCATCTCCAATGTTGATTATCTCATGAAGTATGCATTTCCAATATAATAGTCCCACTAAGAAGTTGCTCCAATATCATTATTCTACAACATATTTAAGTTTAACGAGATTCTAATTTTTTTTACCTATGAGGACCTGGATGTACAAAATGTTTTTTTGATTTTGAGGTTTTCAACTTTTGGACAATCGAAAATCGATTTTCCAAATATTGATGCTAGAGCCTTGAGACTAGCATGTTCCTATACCAGTTTTCTGCCCTCTAAACGATGGTGCAACTTATATTTGCGTAAATGACATAGTTGCCGAGAAATTTAAGATTTTCACAATTGGTTAATTTTGAATAGATGCTGCTAGTAAAACTTTTTAAATTACTATATGAATGTGGAATGTTCGTGTAGTAAAAGTTGTAGAAGGTGATTTTTATGACTAGGTCATGTTTGATGTGGGGTTATAGAGGGTGGTATGGATGAGTAATGACGGAAAATAGTCTAAATGATCAATTTTCAAAGGGCCATACCGCACGATTTTACTAAGTAAACGAGAGCTTAAAGCTTAGTAGCTTCTGTTTCCTTTTTAATTCTCTATACGATGGTATGGTTATTATAGATAAATAAAATAAAAAAATGAATATCCCCTGCTTGTAGCTCATAAAATATATGATTTTGAGCAGATTTATGAAGGGAACGTACATCTGGTACTTAAAACCTTTATATTATAATGGATATAACGTAGAGCTATCGAATGGTCTTTGTTTTGTGCGAATCCAGTGAGTATTTGTCGAGATATGGTCAAAAAAGAGTATCATGCAAAATCATGGATTTTTCCTCCAAATCTGCCTGTGATAGCAAGCGAAAAATCTGGTGACGATTTTTTGGTCAAGACAATATTGTCAATATTTCATGATAAAGTTATGCCAGAGCTTCAAGCGATAGCTCATTCGATAGGAAATTTTTTGGTCTAGAATGTTTAGTAATGCTTAACAAAATGTTCTGATGACAGATACTGATTAATCCTTAGAAAACAATCAAAGAATCGCAAAAACAGTCGTACCAAATATCAGGTGAACAATGTACACCAGAGACTTAATATAAATACCATTGTATTCTCCTTTGAGTTCTCTACAAGTTTCATATAAGTTTGAAGGGGTGTTTACTATCAAGAAACGCGTAATTTTAAGAACAATTGCTTAGCGCAAATACTTTCTTTTAGGAGCTTTGCCTCATGAAGATGTCTTTTGCAAAGATAATATCTCAAAAAAGTCTCTGTAGATCTTACACGAGTTCTGTATTTACTTATGGACAGCTTATGCCCACATCTTATTAAGAGCATCAGCAGCAGTAAACGATATGAAAATTCTATTATCAGAAAATGGCGATTGTGATGTACAAATGCTGCATAGAATTTGAATTTTTTTTTTCACATTGTCCCAATAATAGGCTTTGTTTGATATCAGTATAAGCAAAGAGAATGCTGAGGGAGATACCTCCTCTCCTCCTCCTGGCTCTGATATAACCTTCCTTTTAATAACTAATAATTGGTTGTATAAAATCTACTTGATATACCAAAATTCTATTATATCGGATTTAATATGTCTTTGGCGAAAGCCCACAGAGCGACGCCGACATCGAGCATAGCGAGATCGATCGGCTAGTACGTTTCAATATTGCAAACTGCTCATTTGAGTGCGAATCATAATGATAAATACATAAATTCTGTTTCTCAATAGGTAAAAATACTAGTGCTAATTCTTTACTGAGGCATAATAATTGTTTATAAAGGAAAGGAAAGTATGAAGTATGTATGTAATTACTATTTACAATTAATTTAAATATATGTATATATATAAAGGAATGTGTGGAGAAAAATGAAGGTAAATTATCAATGTGTGTACATACGCAGAAAAGTAACGGATGAAAGAAAGAGATTATAAAAGGGGTATAGAAAGCAATATAAGTTTAGGGTTTTCTGGCTGTAAAGATCTTCCAGCGTGCAGAGCTTTGATACTCTTCGAATTCCTCCATTGCCTCCGTACATACTTGATCATACTCTTGCTGAGATACTTTGATTTCAGAGCACCACCAGCGTTTCATTGATTTGAACAAAGCTCTCATCTGTTCCTTGTAAAGATAGCCATGCTGCTTTTCCACTGCATGTACAAACTCGAATTAGCCTATGTGTCTTTTGCTCAAACTATTTCTGCTTACATTCTGTTTCAGGCCACTCGCCAATGGGTATATCATACACTTGCACCTGCACATCGACAAATCCAGCATCTTCCATGTATTCAGTAATGTAATGGGTATAATCAGGATTGACACCGATTGTAGCTGCTGCTAAACGATACCATTCATTGACTTGGGATAAAACAGGGCCAGGATTTTTGAACAGAAGGTCTGTATATAAAGGAACATAATAGCAATTAATACCCTCATGATTGATGGCTCCTGAACAAATCATACCATATTCAACTAATTGAAGTTTCCCACCCGACTTTGTTACTCTAAAGAATTCAGAAATCAAATTTGGCCACAATTTGAAGGGTAAAACAGTAGCTACATCTCGCTGATACACCATATCAAAATAATTGTCGGGAAACATCAATGTTTGCAAGATGTCACCATACTGAAATTTGATATTGGTCTCTTTCTTTAGCTGGCCAGCAGACAAAGAAGAAGAAGTATTGAATGAGCTGACGGTAGCAAGGTTCCAGCCTTCCTTCTCTGAAGGAGGTACCACATCAATTCCAATAACTTGGCAATTTGGGTAATCATGAGCGATTTCAAGTGACCATAAACCTGATGTAGTTTTTTTATTATTAGTTTTCCTGAATCCACACAAATGCATGAATACCTACCTACGCCGCAAGCACTTTCTAGTATTTTAGTGGGCTCCACGAGTTGAACATGAAGATTATTCTTGAAAACTTGCTTCAAAACATAATGCTATATTAGTAATTCAAATGAATCAAATTTTTAGCCTGTGATTGTTGTTCAAAGTGATCAAGGTTTTTCCCATACCTGTCTTGTTTGTCTAACCAGGTGAGCACAAAATATGAGTAAGGAAGTTTCAGGGTACACAATAACAACACCACAATGCTATATACTTTACCTATCACGCTCCTTTTCCGCACCATACTCATAAACCCACACTTCTTTGCTCTCTCTTCTTCGGCTGATTTGATCAAAGGAATGAAGTGGTGTTGACAATGTGGGTGTGGTTGTGTTGATAATGAAGCCATCTGAATACTTGACAGGCAGAGAGCTGGACAATTTCTTTTGCTGTTGATGGTGTTGAGTGTGGATGTCATTCATGAAAGAGTGAGCAAATTCATCATAGGAGGATCGCAAATAAGTTGGCGTATTTGGCTCGCCTTCCTCGCTTGTAATCGATGTGGGTGACATGCTTCTTGTTTCTCGGTAAGTGGTTGTTGCTGCAGAGGATCGACGTTGTTGCTGATACACATTAAATGAGCTTGCTGCTGAAAGAGACACAAGCGGCGCAACATGGTCTGTTAATACAAGCTGATGTCGTATTGGACTCACCATCACCGGCTGATGTTGCTGTTGTTGCGCCTGCTTTTTTTGTTGCTGCTTCTTTGGCAGTAATCTCGAGGATTTTGAAGGCACAATGCGACTACTCTCCAGCTGTTGGTAATCCTGCTTGTTCAGATTTCCTGCAGGACTCGTGTTGGCACTGCTCATCGAGGGTCGACTGCGCCTTTGATTTGTGTTGTCAATTAATAGCCCATCTTTACTAGGTTGATTACCCATATTCTTCCTCTACGTTTAAAAAGAGGGGGGGATACAAAGATGAAAAAGAAGCAAAGAACTGAAAGTGATTTAGTGGGAAAATACACTACAAATAGTTCTTTAGTGTGTGGGTATCCGTGTCATGGATAAATAGATGAATTGGTGTCTCATTGGCTTGCTTCAATCTTCATACTCATAATAACAAATCCCGTAATGGATCAAAATATTGTGGGGAGATTGGTTTTGTGCGACTTCTGTATAGTGCAACCACAGTGCTGGTTATATTGGATTTTCCCGTTTTGTTGGTTATTCTGAGAATGCTCATGTATATTTTCACAACAGTACATAGCTTGTGTATGTGAGCATACATAGTCCATATATTAGAAGCATGTGCATCACAGTGTCCACATCTAGGTTTCAACTCGATATCAGTTGTAGGCGTGTCTGCTGACCTGAAGAATATGCTGTTAATACTAGTGTTGGTGTTGTAATAGTGCTTTGTGTATGATTATTTAGTGTCACCAGAAAGAACCTTCTTTGCCAAACTATACCAATTAGATGCTAATAACTCATCTGAATACTTGGTAGTAGCAAGTTGGGATGGGCTGAGCAACTTGAAATTGGTTATAATTAGAAAATGGCATCATGGCAGGTCATTCTGGGACATTTCGAAGCACTTTTCGAATACTAAACACCAGTGTTCTAGCAAGCAGCCTCAACAATATTCTTAATTATCATCCACGATGGTGAATCGCGATTCATTATGCGTATGTAAAGTGGGATTTTGAAGGTGGTGCTAAAACTTATATAATTTGATTGGTGGTACCTTATGAGTCAATCATGCATGTTTTTCTTTTTGAATATCAGAAATCACCATTATGGTCTGTGTATATCATACTACACTTTACCTTCTTGATCTTCGCAGGCGGCGCTTTTAAAGTGGACAGTGCTGCTCCAATCAGTCAGTGTATACATTCAAGACATTGCTTCAACTGTGAATCATACATTCATAGTTTGCTACCCGTAGTACAACTTTTGATGGATGGTTGCAGTGTGGAATTCGTAGAAAGAACGAATCTTTTGGTATAATGCTGGATATGGTGCATAAAAATTTCCTTTACGAAACAACCTGACAAGAGTCATATATAAATCACACAAAATCAATACGTTGGTGTGAAAATAATACCTCAACTTCTTGATTATATCTTGCACATGCTTTTAATCTTACATTTTCTCTTTTTTGTTCTCGTGCGAACTGATGTATTATGCAATTTTTGCAATTCAATCAATCAGAGCTTAGTGTTGTTTGTAACATGGATGATAAAGGATAGGAAGAACAGCGATGATCTGATATGGAATTCTCGGATAAGACTATCAGCAATGTCAATTGAATCTCTTAGCACGTTTCGCCAACTCTTTGGAGTGAAAGCTAGCACACTGTTTTCAAATCACTGTGAAGCAAAGTTAAGCTCATATCAAACGATACACTTGCATCATGCATTTGTATGAACTCTGTAAACATCCTTAGCAATGGCATCTACTTTCAAATAAGTCACAATGAAAGTAATTGACGGGAAGCCAACCTTTTACTAGGATTGCGTTGTAGTTTAGGAACACCAAGTCTGTTGTTTTTCCTTGAATGTCATACAAAGCAAGATTTTCTTTTCGAGTTGAGTCCTCTTATTCTCGGGTCTTTAGGTCTACATCGGAAGAACTATCTTAGTATAAACGGCTTAATAATTTAAGCAGAATTTCAGTGCTTAAAAACTAGATGTGTCGAATTGTTGGCATTAGCAGTTTGATTAAGGCCAATTGTAAAACGGAAAAATAATTGATTACATCCATATTCACATCAGAGTTAATGACCCTGCTCAGGTTATTAATATTGTGCGGCTCAACAGAATATGTATATATACATTTGCTACGCATCGCGTTGAAACTTGCTCCCAGGGCACATTCAGACCTATAGTGTCATAGATAATGATGATATGAAATGAATCACATCTTTATGCAGGCACCACAACTCAGAAAATGGCGCCTACTAAATACACATTGGTACCATGGCACTGCTGCTTAGTAACTAAAGTAACAGATCTTCGTAATGTGTAATAAGAGACATAGCTCATGCTATATATGATTGCCAATTGTGCCTCAAGCACTTGATATATACATACAAAGGATGCTGCGGATTTTTCGCATAGAATGAATGGACAATCAACTGACATCATGCGCTACTTTTTGCCACGCGAGATGAAGGTCCATTCCTTTTCATATCAGATTCGACACGTGCTGTTGCTTTACTGTTTGCGTTCAGCAGCGAATCCCCTCTCTGATATATCATTGTTTAGCCAAAATGCCTCTCTTATTATGTCAGATCCAAAATCGACCTCTGAGTCATTTTGATCCACACATATTGTATGAGGGATATTGGCGCTTTGCTCCATGTTGTTGATGCCTGTACTGTATTACATGAACATAGTTGACACAACATTTGCTCTAAAAATAACAAACATATATTAATTGCAGCTCCTGGAATGAAATTGGCTCAAACGATGGTAGCCCATCTTCCATTGAGACCACTGGCAAGATTTAGAGGGCTGATTACCAAAGCTACTAAGCACCATTAAATAGCGCATTCTATACAAGAAGAAATTATAACCTTTTTCACAACCAAGAAGATTGTGTATCCTATCTGCTTGAACTTTATTCATCCTAGCTTCTGTGTGTCTTTGTAGCGCAAGCAACCTAGATGAAAAGAAAGTAGTATTTAGTTTTCGCTTGCAATTTCGAATGGTATTCATTCTAGTCAAATCCAGCAACAACTCTAGGGGTATCAAGTGGGGTGGCTGTGCATTGTTTGGTCTATACAACATGTAATGATGCTGGCAAACAGAAAGTCTGGTGACCTTATGTAGAGCTGTGTATGTGTGTCCTTGTTTGTGTTTTTGTAACACGAAATGATAATTGTAGTAATATAGTAACTACTAATTTAGTGTGGTTGTAGTTTCTATTACTTGATGAGAATGCGCTGAGCAATTGTTTGAATTATATGAATGGCTGGTATAAACTCGTCAATGATAGATGATATACTACAGTACATAGTGGGCAAATGAGCCTTTTGAATGGCGAGGCAGGTTAGCTTACATTCCTGCTTAGTGCATGAAGTATTGTCAAGCTTTAACTACCACGCGAGGATGTTGTTTCTAAATCAACTGGCACGTGCGTGTCAAACGCAGGTTTCTTGTGTTTTGATAGACAGATTTTAAGGAAAGGTGCCTGATCCTCATCAGTCTGATCCACCGCTGCCGTAAACATGAAACGGAATTAGTTCCTTCTTCTCCACGTTTTTCTTTGTTTATGTAGTGCAAGACTATAAACTGGACAGAAGAGGAAGCAGCTCGAAAGAAGCGACTATCCATGTATGCCATCCAATGCTATATAGTTACTATATCTAATGCTATATACTACTATGTCTAATGTTATATCTAATGTTATATCTAGTGCTATAGTCTCTATTGCAATTGTGATCTTGAATGCATCAAAATGAGGGCATTGAGTAGCGAAAGCCGGAAGAGCATATATAAATGCCTCCACTGGGATAAACAGTGAGGGTATACGGTATTGTCACACCTCGGTTATTACCGATACGCTTCGACATACTTTTTGCGCACATGCTTAGCATAAAATCACTGAATTATACATCTTTGCAACAACGTATCTGACAAAAGATATCATTTATATTCTTTTCCCAATCAGAAGGATACAAAAACCCTGGGTTACACTTGTGATTCCGGCAAAAAGGCTCAAGTGATATCATTTCTCGCACTCGTTGCCATGTTGAAATTTCAAGCTGCTCTTTATAATATGATACGCGGGGTAATATATAACCGCTCATATTTGTGATGTTTCTACAGACATTTAGAAAATAGAATTTGCCAAGAAGTCAAATTCAAAAAACCTGGAAATTTGGAATTAGAGCTCTCCATCATGCAGGCCAGATTCTGGTTGAAGATTAACATTGAAAACGTGGAATTTCAGAAGTCGAATTTCTTATCAAATCGATGCAAGGACCTCTAGTTTCAAATTAAGATTTCTTGATCCGGGATCAACCAATTCATTCACACGTTGCCTGCAATTTTTTCAATGTAGAATTCCATGTAATTTGACATTTGACAACATGTTTCAAGACATTTGAAGTCTTTGGGTGAAGATTGAAATTCGACAAATGATAAGGATATGATAATTAGATCTTGTCAAGGAAAAGAAGAAGAAAGCTGTTGTGTATATGGAATTCCGTTCGGTCTCTAAAAGCTTGATTTAGTCATTTTGTCATACCAGTAGTTAAATTTAGTTGATAAAAAAAAAATGTCTACCATTTCAAGCAATTTCAAAAAAAAAAGGTTTATATAAAGAGCAGAATTATTTTTGCTGGTTGCTTTTGTTTGTTAAGCTTGCTTTTCTTTTTCTTTTTTTAAAACACACACATCATGGCTCACGCAATATTCAATGTTTCTCCAGTCAAATTCTTGACGTCGATTCAGGATCATGTCTTTACAGTTACGCCTTCATTTAAGAATAAACTATATAGACAAAACAACAGCAATGAAGGTAGCTCTCAGCAACAACAACTAGAAAATGAGCAAAGAAATTCATCAAGCTCGCCTGTAACATTGCAACTCACATTACCCACTGATTCAGGCATGGATCAAGAATTGTCACAGCAATTGCAGCAGCAACAGCAGCAGCAGTATCAGCAAGAAATGGCAGAGATTCCTTCTTCCAGTGTGCCTATTGATATTCCCAGATCTTACCCTCTCAATGTACCGAATACCACAGAATACAAGCAAGGTAAGACTAAGCGTATCCTTATCAAATCACATCAATTCATATTCAACAACAGGATTGATGCCCAACAACAACATGCTCTCTACTTCCTATACATCGCATCACTCATCTTTCCAAGATAACAACAATTTAGTTGCCTTGGCCAATAGCATACCAAACCACAACCAATCGCCTTTTCTTCCTGCTGATGATTTGACGCTCTGTTTTGATGGATTGGCTGTGAAATCTCCCACAGGTTCTTATTATTCTCACCAGAACGGTTTTTATTCTCCACAACAGAATGGCATCTACTCTCCACAACAGATCAATAGCCCTATCAACATTGGGTCTCCTCATTCGCCTGTATACTTTGGTAGCCCTCAATCACCACATTACAACAACAATTTCTTGGCAAATGATCCCTCGCAATACTCGTTTGTGGGTAGTCCTAATTCCACTCATTTCCTCGGTAGCCCTGCTTTGACACCCTTCATGAATGAAAATGGCTTTGGTTCCTATCTTTCGCCCACAAATCAACAGCAACATCTGTCGCCTGTCAACAGCCCTTCTCCTACAGGTAGTTATGTGGGCCAAAATTACTTGTTTCCGCCTACAGCGCTCCAAACAGGCAATTTCTCTAGACCCACCTCTCCTGTACCAGATGATGTGATCTTGACTGCTTCAGAAGTAAATGACTATATAAACTCACCTTATCTGTCTCCTACTGCTGCCTCACATTCGGCTTCTCCTGCGCTCATGGGACAACAGCACTTACAACAACAGCAGCAATCATTAAGTATCAACACGGATGTAAACTACGGTAACAATGGTGATATCTCTGAGATTTTGTTCGGTAATGCAATGAATACAGCAGCCATCACCACTACCAATAACTCCAGCAGTGTGACTCCAGCCTCTCCTCTAACCACAACCAACTTGGACGACATGGACCTATTCCCATCTGTTGTGAAACAATCCTCGCCACAAACACAAACACAAGCACAAGCACAAACGTATACACAGCCACATCAATATGTGTTCTCTGAAGAAGATGAGGAAGATGATCATGAAGTTGCTGAGGAGGATCCCAATGATACGACCAAGAGCAGATCAATCAAAAAGACAACTCCTTCTGGCAGAAAGGCAAAGATACACAAATGCCCTTACTGCCATCACACCAGTAATCGAGCCAATAATATGCGTGAACATGTACAGATACATAATCCAAACCGTCCTAAACCTCATGCTTGTAAATTATGCTCAAGGGCATTTGCTCGTAAACATGATATGAATCGACACTATATCTCTTGTAAGAAACAGCATACAAAGCAATATAAACACAATAGCAGCGACCATATTCCCCCACAAAATACATAGTAGTATATATCTTTCTTTTTTATTATTCCAATTGTAAATTTTCTCTCTCCCTCTCCTACTTCTCCAACTATCGTTTGTCTCACATACACAAACGCTGTAAATGTAAATAGACTATTTCTTATTTCTCTGTATAGTAAATAATTACACAAATATTGAGTTGTATGACTCTCGCCACTACCAATCTCTCCTCCCTTCTTCAACTATGTAACATTACGATGTATCTTTATTAAATAAACTTTCCTTTATACAACACATCATGTGAATTTAGTGATTTCATCATACGAGATCAACAAACTAGGGGGGGAGGGGACAGAGTTAGGCGGATCAGCTACCATGTTCTCGAAAATGTGTGTGCTACCTCGTGAAAATGCTACACAACAGCACTGCACAGAATCGCATATGGGCGTAACATGATTGACTATCCTACATTATCATTTACATACGCAGATTGATTATTTGACTCAAACTGTAGTACATGTTGTTGTTGCTGATTTGGCAAAACGTTATATGCTTAAGCTTTCTTTATTTGGTCAAACGAAGAGAAAATAGTAATTTGTATTTAATTTGTGCACTACAGTGGCACCTAGATCAGACATATTTGTTTTTCTGGCTCTGAACCCTTAAAAAAGTGTTTTAAACTAACAGCATTCTTGTTACCCGCTCAGAGTAATAATTTCAGATCGAGATTGACAATTCAATTCATCAAGATTAAAGCAATTACTGCTTGAAAATAATTGAGCAAAAATGAGACTACGATGTCTGAATACGTTAGAACTCATATACATGTAATTCATGGGACCTACTTTTGTCCAACAGTATTCAAGAGTGATGTGTCGGAAGCTGGAGTTAGATGGAAGCTAATAGAGACTTCATGGTGATTTAAAATTGACGATTGCACCATAATACATCAATAAACCATGGCGCAACATTTCAGCTGTAACAAGATTTGTTTCTTGAGCTTCGAAATTGGCTATCTAGTTTACAACTTGCCATAGACCATTACATCATAGCTAACCAAGTGCAAGATACACTATACTATACGAGTATTTATGCTTTGGATGGCCCTCTACCTTCGCTTCGCTTCGGTGAAAACCAACCTGCGCAGCGACAGCTCGCGCTGCCAATAGCCTTTGCGCATCTTATCAAAAGACTACTACTTTCATTTTGACCCTCCATTTACACATGAAAACTCTTCATATTATCCGTGGATTTGATCCTTATGTGATGCTCCATATCCATATACACGTAGCTACTTCATGCATGATTAAGCAGCATACTGGTATTTCCTTTTTTAGTCCTTAGTGTTCCTGATAGAGCAAAATCCGAGCGCATTTGAGCTGCGTTTTCTTGAGTTCAAGGCTGTTTTAGATTGTCAGAATAGCACCAAACAATTGCTCTCATCTGGCAGTTACTTATTGCCATTATTGCACAACTTTTTGTGGACCAAAAAAATATGGCCAAAAATTGAACAAAAACCATGAGGTACCCCTCATAGTTTCTGTCGAAAATCAAACGATCGCGTTTTTGACCTCAAAAATGAAGACTTCTACTAAGATATATATTAGATCAAAATTTTTCTATTGATCCAGCGCAGCCCCTGAAGCTACTTTTATGAGATATTCACATGTGGAATCTCGGCATATTCGCCAAAAACCTCATTTCATATTTACTAAATTTACTCAGTAGATTTATTCAAAACATCTCTTATAACTGGCATCATTAGATGCGCCTTGAAAAATACTACAAGAAAGCATAAGGAAGTACGTGATTATCATGACAGTTTGTATAGTCAGATATACAAAATTAGATCGATCAAGTCGATTTTGAGCAAAATCTGGCCAATCCTCATAGAAAAAAAATTCTGAGTTTGAATTAATTTTGGCTGTTAAGATGCCTCTTTTATGTAGATATTTGATGCTTTGAGCTTATAAGAGAGGGAATGCAAATTGATGAGTGCAATAAGCTAGTCTCATTGTTACTGTTTGATTTTATTGTATACTTCTATAGTGTATATTGTTAATTATTTTACATTTCAAATCCAAATGCAAAGCCCAAAGTGAATTGTCATCTAAATCAAAGCTGCATAGTGTTTTGAATGTGAACCGTAGTTAGCTTTGAGCTGAACAGTCTTCATAAAAATAATATATAAAAGCAATAAAACAGTTCGGAGCCATTTTACCTCAGGCCTTCTTATTCAAGTACAATGGCTATTGCCACCGTTATATCATCACAACATAATAAATTTATAGTTCCTAGACATTTTCAAAGCCTCAAAAAGGAAAAAAATTGATCTAACAAGTATTTTGATAAACTGGCGTTATTAAATATTGAATGCAAGAAAATAGCATGACTAACGATAGTGATATGGCTTGCCACCTACCTTCCATACGTTTCAAAAGTATCTATTACTATATTGCCTTATGAAAAGGGCATTGAGGAGTCTGTCAGCCGGCCCCACCAGCCGCCAAAATTGATTCAAACCCAAAATATTTTATCTGTCCAAGATTGGTCAAATCTTGCCTCTTTTCGACTTGATTGAGCTTTTTTTGTGAGATTCGACTATATAAGTTGTAATGATCATCCTTTGCTTCCTAATACAATCTCGAAGCACTTTTCAAGACGCATCTAATGGTACCAAGTAAGGTAGATGTTTTGAATAAATCTATTGAGCAATTTATGAAAATATGAAAAGAGGTTTCTGGCCAAAAAGTCGAGATTTTACATGTCAAAGTTCCACAAAGATGATTTCAGTTGTTACGTTGGATCGATAGAAACATTTTGAATTAAGATATACCATAGTAAAAGTCTTCGTCATCAAGGTGAAAAATGCGATCGGTTGATTTTCAATGAAAACCATGAGGGGTACCTCATGCTTTTTGGTTGAATTTTGGCCATGTTTTTTTGGTCCCCAAAAAGTTGAGCAAAGGTGTCAGTAAGCAAGTGCTACATGAAAGCAATTGTTTGGTGCTACTCTGGCGGTTTAAACAGCTTTAAACGCGAGAAATCATGACTCGAATGTATCCAAATTTGGTTGTGCGTCGCATATATCTAGGCAGTCAAAGATGGTGCAAGTGTATTGACTGCCGGTATATGGATTGTTTCCATTGAAACAGTTCTGGAGCGTCTACGAGGAGTCAACCCCGTAGTTGCATGTTGTTTATGGAGGGTTCATACTAATAATGGAAAGCTAAAAAAATGGGATTCCGGTAGCCAACAGTAGGATTATTTCAAGTCCTTTAGAGAAGCAAGGTTGGCATTGCCTCATGGTGTCGACGTAGTTACTGTATCTCCAATTTGTGGTGAGAAGCAGCATATTTTTGCATATCAGCACCTTCATCTTCATAGAAAAGATGTAATTCAAGCAGATACAACGCACTAGGAAAGTTTGTATGTTTTTCATGCATGCCTTGACTACGCTTCTCGCTACTGTTCGCTTCCTGACATGTGTCAAACGGCACAATGCTATCATTCTAGTCATCGGGTATTGAAGCTTACATAAACAGTCGTGAGACTGTCCACCGATACAATCTATACATGCACTTGCTGCGAGCTAAACAAAAATTCTTTTTCTTTATTGTTTATCCAACTATACAAAATGGCAAAGCATCATCCTGATTTGATTTTTTGCAGAAAACAACCTGGCATTGCGATAGGAAGATTGTGTCAAACATGCGATGGCCGTTGTATCATTTGCGATTCTTACGTGCGTCCTGCAACCCTTGTTCGTATCTGTGACGAATGCAACTTTGGTAAGTGATTGTCAATAGTGTGAATGTGGACAATCTCTAATGATGAATAAATATGTATAGGTTCTTTCCAAGGTCGTTGTGTTATTTGCGGTGGTCCAGGTGTGTCTGATGCCTTTTATTGCGTAGAATGTACTCGACTAGAGAAAGATCGCGAAGGGTGTCCAAAGATTATCAACCTTGGCTCTTCGAAAACAGATCTGTTTTATGAACGGAAAAAATTTGGATTCAAAAAGAGGTAGCAGCTATTACACCTTGTTGCAGCATCTCTCTTGTGTTCCATGTACAGCCATTTATCTATTGAAAATATCGCAATAAACAACAACGTTCTTTGTATTTATCGGTGGAAGTTAATGTGTGATTTTATTTCGAAAAAATATAGTGAATATAAGATATGGAGGTTGCTGTTGCTGTTATTAATGTACAAATAAAAAAAAAAAGAGAAAAAGTATAGGGCATTCAGTTGTGTGTTCTGATTGTGTTTGCGTATTTTGTGTGTGTGTGTGTGTGTGTGTATAGAGTAAGCTCAATCAAGTCATTGCATGAAAAAAGTTACTGTAATTTAAAATCGCAACACACCAGAAGAACCGCCTGCGACCATACCTTGTTGATTTGATTGCTGTGGCTGCACAGTCATCATATTTGTACGTTGATATTGAGGGATGGAGGAAGATGATGAAGATGATGTGGCTACTGTTGTCGCACTTGAGTTTCCAGAGCCTGAAGCAGGTAATGACGAGGTAGAGGCGGCGGTAGAGTTTCTATTGAGGTAGGATGGTTGTTGTTGAGCCATCATTCCCATAGAAGACGGGATGCCCTGTCTCATCATTTGTGTGGACATCATGGAAGGCATCGACTTCTGTATGGAGTTGGGATGGAAACCATTGGATTGAGCAACTGGACATTCTTTATGCGCCAACAAGAGAGTTTTCAGGTTGACAATCTCTTCCTTCAGGCTCTCTGATTGTATTTGAAGTCTTTCGTTATCACTCGTCAAAAACTCAACCTTGGCTTGAAGGTTGTTCAACCATTGCTTCTTTCTTTGACGACATTTTAATGCAGCTATCTTAAAATGTTAATCATGCTGTATGTGCGCACATGCAGTTGGCTAACTTACCAATTCTATTTCTTTCCAAAAAATTCTTTCGCTTTTCGTCATCCTCAGGGTCTTTGCTACTTGACTTGGTTCTCTTTTTGCCATTGCCTCCATTGGAAGTAGAAGCGTTGTCTTCTTCCGACTCGTTTGTAACTGCAGAAGATCTTCTACGAGTTTTGCTTTGTTGGTTTGATTCGTTGCTATCCATAGAAAGAGCATCATCGTCTGCTTGCTGAGACACTGATCGTTTTCGAGATGCACTGCTTGACGACTGCTGGCGGGTACGCTTTGATGGTTGCGAGGCAGGAGGGGGGGGAGGGTGAGAGTACATGTTCTGCTGAGGCTCAGCCTTTACGGCATATTGCATATCACTCGAAGTGGTAGAAAATGAACTTCTGGCAGAATACCCCATTGGAGGAGCCAATTGGCCATTGCTCTTGGGAACCGAAGATGTATAATAGTCATCGGGATTAGCAGGGCCTTGAAGCATAGATGGGGATAAAGGTCCAGTTCGAAGAGTATCCCAAGTGAACTGGCTAGAGACCTCCTTTGGTAAAATGCCACCTCCTATAACATTGCTTGTATTGTTGTTGTTGTTGTTTGCTGATGAATTCAACACAGGAGAGGGGCTTGTGATAGAGGCGACTGGTGGTAGCTTGAGTTTGTCCTTTACTTTATCTTCAGCAGCGACACCGGAAAAGCTTTGTTCAAATGGATTTGGTTCTTGATCCAGCTTAGTGCTTGAATTCAAGGGCAATACAGCCATTGGTGCTTCGTCCACACCTGCTCATACATTCAGCATTTCTAGAACCCTTTGACAAGCAGCATATCCTGAAATTACCTGGAGCATTCGTTTGCTTATGATTCTTAGCTTGTAATTTATCAACTGGCTCAGAAACAGTATTCACTGCGTCCTTTTTCTCATTGTGATCCATGCCGGCCATTGTAAATGGTGATTTCCTAATTTAAAAAAAAAATTTTATGTACAATTAGGCAAACAATTCTCTTTGTAATCGAGATTAGACAGATTTGCTTACAGATTTGAGAGAGAAATTATGATTGAAAAGAGTGGGGAAAGATAATGCGGCTACGCTAAAAGGGAGACACAAGTCAGTATTCCAGCAATTTCTTTCTATTCGTCTGTTTTATTAGTAATTGCGGTTTTACCTCTTATTTTGTACTTGGATGTGGTATCTCTTCGAGTTTTATCTTGCTTTTCCTAGATTGCTTACTAATTGGCTATGGAATTTCGAGCTTTTCCTTTTATATGTTTATGTATATTTCACAAACGCAAAATCAGATGGTGAAATGGAAGAGCAAAACGAAGGGTAGAAAAGTGAAATAATAATAGAAAAAGAGAGAAAGAGAGAGGGAGGAAAGTTCAAAAAAAGCGGTTGCTGAATCAAATAACAGGTTGGCTGACGTATATCTGTAATCTTTACGTCATATTTACCTTAATTGGTGTTGCATTTCTGATTAAATATAGGGATGATATTTCTCAAATGTGTCTCGGTTAAAAAATCGAGGTATATCTTTGATCTGAAAGCCTATACCTTAAATATGAGCATATCTTCCGGGCGATATAAAGCCGAAATTTAGCCAATTTTATTCTCATGTTTTGTATTGCAAAAGCCCAAGGATGTTTAAGCAAAATCAATCAAGGAAATGAGCATTAAGCCATATCTGGAGTTGACCAGGCCATGGTTGGTGACACACTCCAAATGACATTTTGAGTCGGCACTACAAATATAGCTCTCTTGAACCAGAAAACAAATCCAGGTTCACAAATAAAAGAATACATTTTGCTCTTTTGCGCAACGCATAATTCTCCCATCATAGGCAGAGACCCTTGATTTACTCCTGAAAAGAGCTATATTAACCGCAATGCATCTAATGGCAATTTCGATTGCATGTGTAATAAAAACCTCTTGCCATATCGGTAAATCAAATCCCAAATGTCGATTCTTCGTTTCCATACCAAGTGAGATTTGGCAACATCGCATTTTCGAAATATTGTATGCTTTTAAGCTTTCCGATGTATGACCAACTGTCGCTATATTCCTAGTTTGGCTGAACTAGACATCATGAATCCAGGTTGCCTCGGAGATGTGAAGATGAAAGCAAGCTCGACATTTTTTTTAGTTCTTCAAGATGTGGACATGGTTCATATAAGGAGGAGGAGAGTTTACTGTCAAACTCTATGTGACAAAAAAGAAATGCCCCATGGTTCTTTTGAATGGGATTGTATGTATTAAGGTCAGGCGTTTGCTAGCAGCCACGTTGCAGAATCAAGAAATGTTTTGCACACAACCGAGAGAAAGCAACAACATGATTGTGGTGTAACAGAACAGCTGTTCCTCTATACCAAGTCTGTGCTTCATGTATTCTTTGATTCAGGCACCGTACGAAGCCTACGCACACGAGTGTTTGATGTGCCAAATATGTTTCAAGATTAAACTGAACATACCAAAAAATAAGCTTTTTTTTTTTGCTATTAAATAATCTGATGTTGACCGATTGCTTTGCTTTATATCCTTTTTCTTATTTACAATACATTCAATGTACAACAACCAGTCTGATAGTATTCGAGTTCCAGGCAATACTCATCCTTCCCTTACATTGAGACCCAACCAATATCTATCTGATGATGAAGATGAAGATTTCTTCTACTCTGCGCAAGGCACTCCCATCTCGCGGCCTCAATCCATCAGGGTTTCTATTCAAAACTTTGCTGGTTCTTACTCCCGTGCATCCATTCTCTACATGGCAGATGCTGTCTCAACACAGAACAGCCAGCATGCTAATGCAGCAGACATGTCAGTTATTGCACATGAAGATGAAGAGCAGCTCCTGTACAAGCCAAAGTATGACAACTGTATTTGGTAATATACACATTGCATACAGAAAATAACATTACTTATTAGTAAACCAAACATGGAGAATAGCAAAGTTTATCGTACATTCTCTGAACAAACAGCAGATATGATGCACCACGCTGCATACAGTAGCTTTGAGCCTCTCTCCCGTCATACCACGGTGGCATCGATCATTTCTCAACAGCTATGCCTAGTGCCCTCAGCGACGGACCAGAAGCATCCACAGGATGAAGTGTGCTATGTTGGTAAGAGTAGCTTTGTACAGTCTATCTTTAATGCAGTAAATGTCCTTGTTGGTGTCGGTATATTGGCGTTACCTCTGTCTCTTCGCCTAGCCGGTTGGTTGTACGGGTCACTGATCTTTCTTTTCTGTTGTGTTGCCACCAACTACACTGCCAAGGTCATTGTCAAGTGTTTAAATGCCAATAAGCCAGATAGCGGGGGAACGTACGGTGACATGGGCCAAGTAGCTTTTGGAGATAAAGGACGAACGCTGATAAGCACAGTATTTGTTATTGAGCTTATCACTATAGGGTAACTATCATTGAGTCGATATCACTTGCACTCATCCGAAAAGCAACAACAAAGAAGAGAGACTAAATATGTATATATTAATTCAATAGTGTGGCTATGATTGTTTTATTAGGTGATGGGATACAATCCTTGTTTCCAGAATTGGACCTAATTCGAACAAGAGCCCTTTCTCTCTGTATTCTTACACCTACTGTGTTCCTACCCATTAAGAAATTAGCATACACTAGTCTTATTGGCATTATAGGCTGCGCAAGTCTAGTGATTATTGTATTGTACGATGGCTTGTCCAAAGAGCAACGGCCGGGCAGTCTTTTTGATCCCATGGTAAGGAAGTATGTGTTGTTTGTTTTACTTTACACTCACGCATTTTTTTTTTGCCTTACAAACAATGACCACAGGATACTGAAATAGTTCCAAATGATACATCCAATTTACCCCTGAGTTTTGGATTGATCATGTCTGGTTTTGCTGGTCATGCTGTGTTTCCTTCGATTTACCGCGATATGGAAAACCCGAAGGAATACAATCGCATGGTCAATATCACATACCAAATTACTGCTGTCATTTATATTTTAATGGCTATCGTTGGCTATCTGATGTTTGGCCAGGAAGCATTGCAGGAAATTACTCAAAACTTGGCGTTGGTTGAAGAATACAGTCAAGTCTTGAACCGTTTTGCTATTTGGTTGCTTGTTCTGACACCTATTGCAAAATATGGCTTGATGATGCAGCCCCTAAACATGAGCTGGGAGCTTGTATTACTTAATAACCCTCGATTTGAGTCTTGGTTGAGTGTAAACTGGCGAAAGAATGCGCTAACAATCGTTGGACGATCCCTCGTTACAGCTGTCCTGGTGTACATTGCTTTAGTCTTTCCTGGGTTTGATAAAGTCATGGTAATGCCTCTCATACTTATATGAATCTTCTTGCGTAGACCAGTCTTACTAACACAGATATAGTCTCTGCTGGGTGCTTTGTTTAGTTTCACAATCTCTGTTATCTTTCCACTTATCTGCCATTTGCAATTGTTTAAGGAAAAGCTGTCTATATTTGAAACTCTCTTGAATTGGCTCTTGCTAACTGTATCTATTCTTATGGCTGTATTTGGCACAATTTGGAGCATTCGGCCTAGTGAACTCTAAACAGATTATCAGCATGACATTAACAAAAATGTTTATGTATGAATTATTAAATTACAAAACAAATACATGATTATTAGAGGGTTTCATATCTATTTCAAGGGCAAATGTATGTGTTCCATTTATCCTCACAACACCCAACAGTAGTAAAATCAAAAGTATCAGTCTGTAGTCCATATATAGCATCAAATACCTGTGTATCATACTCGGCTAGTAGCACGCAATCTAGCTAAATGCAATAACCTTTTTTGAAGGGAAAAATAATTGCTTACTACTCGAAGCATCTTTGTACAATTGGTATTACCATTTGGTTGGGTTGCCATTATCAATGATGTATACTTTATGAAGTGTTATCAAATGATGGCTTGGGCTTTGGGGATCGTTTTCATGCAAGAGTAAGCCAGACGCCGCAAAAAGAGTTTAAACTCAGATGAAATTTTTCGATTCATATTGGCCAAATTCTGTTCAAAATCGACTTGATCGATCTAATCTTCAAGATTTGACTATACAAACTGTTGTGGTAATCACAAACTTTCTTAAGCTTTCTTGGAGTACTTTTCAAGGCGCATCCAATGGTACCAAGTAATATAAATGTTTTAAATAAATTTATTGAGCAAATTATAAAAATACGAAAAGAGGTTTTTGGCCAAAAAGTCAAAATTCTGAATATCAAGGTTTCACAAAAGTAGCTTCAAGGGCTGCGCTGGATCAATAGAAACATTTTGATCTAATACATACCTTAGTAGAAGTCTTCATTTTTGTGGTCAAAAACACGACCGTTTGATTTTCGACAGAAACTATGAGGGGGTACCTCATGGTTTTTGATCAATTTTTGGCCATGTTTTTTTGGTCCCAAAAAAGTTGAGCAAAGGTGTCAGTAAGCAAGTGCTACATGAAAGCAATTGTTTGGTACTATTCTGGTGATTTAAAACAGCTTTAAACGCGAGAAATCACGACTCAAGTGCACCTACAATTCCGCAGTGTTTTGCGTATTATTGAGTAATAAGAGGTAATGCAAGTATGCCATATGCTCGTAAATGAGTAGTTCCCATTGCTACAGATGTAGAGCAACTAACAAGAGTTGGATCCACTACTATTAATCGTTTGAGGAGGCTTCTCATTGATGCCGAAAAGATAAAAAGTGGTATTTCAGTGGATGAGGGATTGGATGGTCATTGACACCTCCGGGGTAAAGCATTTTATGATGATAGAGTAATTAAAGGGGCAAGAAAAGAGTAGAATAGTATAGCTACTGTATGTATATGGAATTTATAGTTGACAATTGCGCATCATCAAAATCAAGCATTCACAGTGCTCTCTTTAGCTGCGGGTTTATCCTGAGATAGTTTGACAGTGCTTAAATCCATGTCTGCAAAATTAGATGCAAAGCCGTCCTGCCATTGTAATGCTGCTTTGTCAGAGTTGTCATTAGCGCTGCTACTATTACTTGAAAAATCACCAAATGGATTGTCCTCGTCTTTATCAACATTAGCAGCAGCTACGTTGTCTGCCTTGGCTTCATTATCATTTTGACCAGCAGTTGAAAATGGATCATACTCGCCACCCGACCATTGTGTTTTACGCCTAGCAACATGGACTTGTGTATCTTCGTCATCGCTACTACTATAGTCATCTTCCTTTTCTTCTGTAGAGCTACTGCTGTCATCCTCTGCATGGTACTTCATGATGGTAATGGTGTTTTGATTCCCTGATTTATCTATATTATCACTGTCCAAAAGTCAACTCTCATCATATCAGGATACTTGCAAATAAACTGCTTACATAACCCATTGATCTTCTCTGTCTTCTTCTTCCTCTTCCTCGTCATCATCAATGGCATTGAATTGACCAAATCTATGACTGATCGCCTCCTCGGCGTTTAACTCTTCGTCAATATCATCAATGATATCATTATCATTATGATCTGCAATAGCAAGCATGTTGTTCGCCCTGACATCTCCCAAGGGCAAGCTATCTCTTTCCTTTGTTTCTAATAGCTGCTTCATGCAGTATTGATGCCATTTGTCCAAATCAATAGAGTCGTCTAGTGCTGATATGATGCTCTCGGGGTAGCCTTCGAAAAGCTTGATAATCTCATCTGAAATAAATGTCAGATGTCCCATATAGCCCAATCGTGTGCCCTTTGGTTTCGCACTATGTATATGTCATTATTACCCAATTGCGCTTTACACGTTTGTATTCATACCACTCAATGTCGTTCTGCTCCTGCGCCTTCACAATCTTGTCTGTCAAGTGTCCCTCATTGAAAATAGACAAGGCCAGCTGTCTATTTGACTCTCTGTTCATTTGTCCATTGAAGATCTGATGCAAAGAGTCGTATACAACATAATGTAAGAAGTTGTTCAGAGGGAACTCAAAGAACAGATCCTAAGTGAGAGTTTTTAAGCAAACCGACAATCCATACATGCTTCAAATCACTTACTATGCTAACAGGCATCACCTTATGCTTGACAAACGCCAATTTTAACAAATCCCCACAAGTAGGGCTAGTTTCCTCTTTATCTGCGTCTCCTTGGATGACATTCAGGCTTGACATGTTTGAACAGTGTAGCAATTCAGCAAATAATTCACAAATCTTGAGCCTTTCAAAACCAAGTGGCGTGGTTGTGCGAGGCGTATCGACTTGATTGGGTTTCAAGAGTAGATCTACAAATTTATCGATATTGTCTGTTAATACGGACAGCATGTTGATGAGCGATACGCCAGATTGCTGTGCTATTTGGTTCTGATATCCCAAAACGACAGCGAAAGACGTTTCTTGATCCAGATCACTGTTGTTGTGGCGGATGATATCGATGATGATTGTAACGCAATTGATCAAGCTGGAGACTGAGTTGGGAGCGGAAGTATCCAACATAAAATCAACCATGGTTTGCATTGTGTCCCTGCTTGTTAAAGTGGTAATAATGTCGTTGACACCCAAACTGGGCGATTCGATCAAGCTTGTTTGTGACATTCTGACAATCTCGCAAATACATTGTTGGGCGGTTGAATGTTCGTCAGTGGTTTGATTCGGATCCAACCGATACAACAGGTTGATCAGTAGGCCATTGTCGCTTAACCACTATAGCTCATTGTCAGTGAACATCCTTTAAAACCAGCTTTGCAAAAAAACTACCTGCACTATGCCTTTTGCTTCTGGTAACTCTTCCAACCTGATCAAGTTTAATAGTAAATCCATAATGGCCGAGCTTTGTAAGTTAGCCAGTATCAACTTCAGATTTTCCGGAGTTGATTCAATGAATCCCAACATATCAGTAGTTCGTTTGGTCAGGAAGGTGGTAATGATTTTGCTGAAATAGGCTGCTTGGAAAGAATAAGAAGCATGTATCGAGAAAGGCTTCCTCAAAAAATCCCAGAATTTCGACAATAAGTCTTGATGATCAAGCACGATTGCATCCACCAGTCGAGGTATTTCACATGCCAGTATTTCGCAAGCAATTAAAGGCAATCTATAGCCATTATGTTACCACCCACCGCACGTTTAGATAATGAATGGCTTACCGCTGTTTCCCGTTATCCAGAGCATAGAACAAATCGATCAGCTCTGACAAGTTGTCCTTTTTCGCCAAACTATAGAGATAGTCAAGAGATGTTGTTAGCCTCGAACAGTTGATTGAAAACATGATCACAGTGTTTTCATGTCTGTTTACAATTTACAATTCAATTAGTTTGGGGTTTTGCGATTTTGCTTCCTGGATGATGTCTTGATCAGTCAGAATCTGCTCGAGTGTAGTGTCTGGCTGGGCTAGTAAGCCGTCGATGGCAGAGGGATTGTTAAATCCAAAGCGCCAAAACATCTGTTATGGTTCTTGTGGTATTAAATGTGTACAATAGAGAAAAGAAATAACCTAAATTTTATCCAGTCGTCGCACTCTTAATAAAAACAAATTGCCCCACATATACCCTCATCAAATAGTATCCTGCTCTATGCTGTTTAAAGCCTCAGATTCGCCCAAGATGCAGATATACATAAAGCACTGTGGTCTGCTCCCAAATTAGACTTGATAATGTACCGATTTGCTTTTCATTGAATGGAAACAAAGAGATCTGCAATTCAGGGGGTGCACAGACAATGAAAGGATGCTGAAACTTTAATCAGGGTCACTATTATTGGTGCGAGAGCAGCGCACACCCAGTCAAAAAAGGTGAAGTCCAAAGAGATGCCGCCAATGCTCATACGGAGAATAATAACCAGCAGAGACATCAGCATTTGGTTTAGGTCCTTGTCTATTCCACGAGAGACTGCAAATCAAAAGGCACAAATGCAAATTGTAAGCAGATCAGTCAATAGCAGGACAGCAGCAGTAGTTTTATACAGTATATCAGCCACTATCTGATCTATCTTGCTACGCTCGATGTCGGCGACACCCTGCAGGCTCTCGTCGAAGACATTTTATATCAGATATGGTAAAATTTTGGTATATCAAGCAGATTTTAAACAATCTATTATTAGTAAAAGAAAGGCTATATTAGAGCCGGAAGGAGGAGGAGAGGAAGTACCTCCTTCAGCATCCTTCTTGCTTACACTGATATCAAACGAAACCTATTCTTATTGAGTCCATGTGAAAAAAAAAAAATTCAAGTTTTATGCAGCATTTGTACACCATAATCTCCATTTTCTGATAATAGAATTGTCATCCCATTTGCTATTGCTGATACTCTTAAAAGATGGCGACATAAAGCTGGTCATGCGCAAATACAGGACTTTTGTAACATCTACAGCGACTTTTTTTGAGATATCGTCATTGCAAAAGACATCTTCATGAGGCAAAGCTCCTTAAAAAAAGTATTTGCGCTAAGCAACTGTCCTTTCAATTCCATGATCCCCATTTAATCAGCATCGCAATCATCATTGTCATCATCAGAAAAGCATTTGGGTCAGCCAGCAGCAGCGCCGCCGCTAAAATTGATTCACGCTCAGATCCTTTTTTTTTTTCTGTTCAAGATTGGACAGATATCGTCTTTTTCGACCTCTTTAATCTATTCTGTGATATTCGACTATATAAACTGTGATAATCACCATATGCTTCCTAATACATTCTTGAAGTACTTTTTAAGGCGCTTCCAATGGCACTAACTGAAATAGGTGGTTTAATTGAAATTACTGAGCAATTTGGTAAAATTTGAAATGAGGTTTTTTGCGAAAATAGCCATATTTTGCATATGAAAACCTCATAAAAGTGGTTTCAGAGGTTGCTTTGAATCAAGAGAAACGTTTTGAATTAATATATACCATAGTAAAAGTCTTCATTTTCAAGGTGAAAAATGCTATCGTTTGATTTTCGATGAAAACCATGAGGTACCCCTCATGCTTTTTGGTCGATTTTGGCCACGTTTTTTTTTTTGGCTCAAAAAGTTGAGCAAAGGTGTCAGGAAGTTACTACTATTAAATTACAATTGTTTAGCATCATTCTGGTGGCTTATAAAGGTCTACATGTCAAGATATGAAGGCTTGAAAGCTGTCAAATTTGGTTTTGGTTTTGCTTTATAGCTATTATTTACACGGCATGAATCACATATTTGGTAGCTGTAATTTACTGGAAGAGCAGTTACATAGCCTGTGCAATTTTTAATTCGAATAGGAGGCATATTGATTTTGGTAAAGCTAATTCATACAAATTTTGAGGCGTTATGTTGTTGGAAAGATAATTAATAATGGAGATGAAAAACCAAATTTGCTGCTTGAATACTATGGTTTTGTACTTTTGCTTCGCTACGATAAAACAGCCTCATAAGTCAATGTTACTAAATGTTGAATTAGATGCATTATGTTCTTGGTGGATGGGTTTAGCACCTCCTCCAAACCTCCCCCCCAATGCTGGCTTCATCGGTGGTTTATTCACCTTGTACTGTACTCAATTCTTTAAATTTTTGAAAGGATATGATTTGAAGCTATTTTGCTGTAGTGTTGCGGCACCTTTTCCGACATCTGCAAAGCATAAGGAATGCATTGTCAAGACACTATTTTTTTTAAAAAGACACTCCATATAAAATAAAGGCTTCAAATGAGTAGAGCGAACCTTATCTACTTGCTAGCAATCTACTCCTTCTGGCATGCTCTCATTATGCAATTCAAATGACAGACTGATAGTGGGGCTTTGTTTATTAGATTTTTGTTGCTGTAATGATGCTAAATGTGTATATAAATATTAGAAAGAAATAAAAAGCGATGAATAAATAAAATAAATGAAGATTCAAAGGCCTAATACTTTGTTTCGCTCCAAAGATAAGGCAAGATGGTAACGCATGCAGCATATAGCACGGTAAAGAACATAATGAAACTACGATGAGCACCAGCCCATCCATTGCTAACGGTCTCAATCTTGATGGCGTGGAAAGCAACAGCGAAAAAGTGATAGACAAGGATGATGGGTCTTTGGATCAAACCAGATAACAGACCCACAGGCTCACTGATGCAAAGACCTCCAAATTTGAAATATGAGAAACATCCACGTTGCAGGACGGCAAGATCAGTATCTATGGTCCCATCCACTAAGTAACTGCTATGCTCATAGTTCTCTCCCTGAATTCTTACCTTCATCTGCAGCAAACAAGCGATAGAGTGCCATTGCTAAGACATTGATAGCAGTACAGTAGTTCTTTCTCTTCCAATGAAATTCATTCAATTTCTGAAGAATAACTTCTGAATCAGCAAATGAAGGGACATTTTCATGTGACAAATATTCTTTGAGTAATACAACATCATTAAACGCAACTGTCATTCCGCCTACGAACCCAAAAATAAACATACGATTTCTATAGAGATAACAGAAATACACTTACCGCCAGTCAAAGGATGTCTCATGTTCATAGCATCACCCAGTAAGATCATACCGTCGCTTTGGTTCACTGAAGGAGGCAAAAATCCGTTTGGCATCGATCTCAATCTTTCGGTTTCCAAGGCTTCCAAGAATTTGGGCTATAATGGAGTGTAAAAAAAAAAAAATCAGTGGATGAGGATTCACATGTTCGCAGAAGGTAGTTTCATCTTACACGAATGCTCTCTGGTAACTCAGGTGCAACTGTCTCCTGCAGATACTTCTTTAGTTCGCCAGTAGACACAGAGGGCAATTTTCCAGGCACATCGACTAAAACACGGGTATCATGTGTACCAATCTGATACATGAGCACTGGCGAGGGCTTAGCGAGGATGACATGACCATGATTTGGCATTGGCAAAACCAGATCTTTCATAATGAATCTGAAAACAATGGATCAATATACTTTTCTCTCTTTCCAATGCCATTCCTTACCCCACAAAGTTGGATCTAACATCAGGTGTCTTTGTTGTAAACTCTTTTCGGAACTTGGAAAACAATCCATCACACACAATAGTCAGTGAAGCATAATACTAGCAAAAGCATGAGCGTGCAGTCTATACACAAAATGGCTACTTTCCCTGCTTACTTTGGATTCCTCGCCTGTCTTTGATTGAGCTACTACACCAATCACTTTGTCCTCATTCTCTTCCCTTAACAAACTGTTGACGGTAGCTTCCTTCACTGTGACACTATCAAAGGGCAGCAAACGTTCAGTTCATCTGAATCGTAAGTGTAACACAAAATACATACTTTTCGGTGGAACTGGCAGCCTCTCTCAATTTCTGAATAAATCGACCATGATGGAATGATTTACCAACTGCTTGCTTTTCAGTGTCTGAATCGACAGGGTAAGGAATCTCCACTGTTTCATTTTGGCGGATCACACCATAACCGTAACAAGGAATGCCATCGATGCCCTCCACACAATCTGCGATAATGAGAACATGTTGATTATTTCGCCGTTGATGTCGACTTCATGGTAGAGAACAAACCTTCCAATCCTAGCTCTTTGAGAGCGTTCATACCTCCAGGCTGTAACAATTCACCCACAATACGGTCAGGCTCTGAGAGATCGCGTTCAAGCAATAGCACCTTTCTATTATCTGAGCCGAATGCTCTGGCTGCAGCACATCCAAGAACGCCTGCTCCAACAATGATCAAATCATATTCTTCGATAGTGTTTGCCATGGTTACTGAGAGAAAGTATGCGGTATTCTTGCCTTTGAATACAAGTGTTGTGTAGTGACGGAAAGAAGAAGAAAAGGGTAAATTGAAGAAAAAAAAAAAGTCAATTTTATACTACAAATGGGGAAGGTTTTAGAGGCCTTGAATTTCTGACATTCAAAACTGATTGCCTGTATTCTGATAGCATATCACATGAAAAACAACATCTCTTCAAGTGTCACGCTATCAGAGGCCAGAGCACAAACAATGACACCTCCTTTGTGGAAATCAGATAATATGCATTGTCTTTTGATAACGATAAAGTCTCGGTACAGTTTCTAGTATTCGCCTGAATCAACATCCAAGCCCTGATATTGCTGATTCATCACTGGTATCCTTGTGCTGGCAAAATGCTCTCATCTTGGCCCCTGAATACCATCGTCTTCTACATACTACAAGATTTGCTTTTGTATGATCTGCGGTCTAACGTGCTTGCAAGCGATTTGTATGCCACCCTGGATGTCAGCGGTGGTGAATTTCAGGGTATCTCTGACATCTTCAAACCCATATCGAAAGACGTGAAATTTGAAGATAAAAGCATTTAGCTCTCTTGATCGGTAAACTGCAATTGCGATATGGACATGTTTAGATATACATTTCGCCTTTTGAAGGCTCAGGGGTACGTCTTAAATTTGACAAGCTGTTATTGCACTTGCAATGTATAGCAATGGTAAACTTATACTGCCATAACCGAGTATCATTTTGCGAAAATGCCGTGTATTCTATATTCTTCATTGTGTAACTAGGCTCACATTTGGGTATTTAAGCGTTGTACATAATTTAAACCTTCTTTCCCTTCTTTTCCTCATTTCTTTTTCTCAAAACATGGAGACTTTTCATCCTGGCCCAAGAGCCTTTGCTATTGCTCTATTAATTGCGTTCCTTGGTACCAAGAACGGCAGAAACCTGGGTAAGTGACATTCAATGCGAAGAGCACCGGCCATTGACACTGCTTATGCGTACATATTCAGGTGCTGAAATCATCAACAAACACATTAAGCAAACCATCATCTTTTGGCTTCCTCTCAGAGTAAGATGCAAGATCGTTGAGAAAATCATGAGCATGCCGATAAAGAAGGGTCGTGCTGTGATGAGCACTGCCACTAAACCATGGGGCGCTCAATACGATTATATCAGCCGGGTCCAGAAGAATGGCATTGCTGGTCATTGGATTGTCAAGGATTCCCATCTCGTCAAGAAGCAACAACGAGTTTCGTGGGTAGAAAAGACTGCAATTGAAGCAGACCTTACTATTTACTATATCCATGGTACAGTGTAAATGTGTTCCTGATTGTCACTGTTTTTGTACCAATTTTAGAACATCTGTGTTACTCTGCTCTAGGTGGTGGCTTTAGATATGGTGATTCACTCATGTACATGGAATCATTTATTCATATCATTGAATATCTGAGAGAGACAAAAGGCTTGAACGTGCGCATCTTTTCTATCGAATACAACCGTATGCCAGAAGTTAGCTACCACAAAACCAAGGAAGACTGCTTGAATGGATACCGTTACTTGATTAACCATGTGAAGATGGATCCCAAGAAGATTGTGTTTGCTGGTGACAGTGCTGGCGGTAATCTTGTAGCTACAAGCTTGTTGGCTATTCGAGACTTAGGTCTGCCTCAGCCAGCTGGCAATGTCATGATTTCACCATGGGCAAACATTGACAATAGCCAATCACTTCGACCCAACAAAGTGTATCTGGATTGCTTGACTTTTAAGATGCTAAACACTGATCTTGGGAACTACTTTCCCGAAGCAGCCACTAGTGCCAGTGAAGAAGAAAAACGCCTTGCACTGCGCAACCCAGCCTACTCGCCTGTGTTTGCTTCATTTACTGGAATCTGTCCAACACTGGTTACATATGGTGGAACCGAAATTTTCCAACATGATGTAGAGGAGCTAATTGGGTGTTTGAAGCGAGATCAAGTTAAAGTAGATGTGATTACAAGACAAGCACCCCATATTTGGCTAATTTCGTCAATATTGGCTCCCTCTCATGCAATTTGGAAGACGGATTGTTCCAAACTAGCAGATTGGTGTGCCAATTGTGTGCTTCAATCGTAGAGCATATTCACAAAAAAGAAGCTCCACGTGCTCCCCCTCTTTTTTTTCTTTCATTCTGTAATGAATTGATGATCTCTTTAGGTTCCAATAAAAAGCGACCTGAGTTCTACTAAACTGTCTCTGTAACACAATTTAGAAATTTGCAGTGGTGGGGCGTGAGAGAACCATTAACAGACTTTGTACACAACTGAAAGGTTAAACGGCATCGAAAAATTAGATGTAACGTACTTTTTTTTTTTTTTTTTTTTTTGGTAATAATCAAGCGTATACAATCAAAGTGGTCCAAGTGATAGATCAACGTGTCTCCCAGAGCATGCCAGTATATGGCTATTGGCTCTGCTATGCTCTACAAAGAGTGGCTGACTCTGGCTCATTATTGCCTTGATACCAAGAGGAGGTGATTTCAGTATGTTTCACTACCCGCATATTACTCGAATTGGCTTGACCCGGGGTATACAGAACAAAGCCATTTTGCTAGTGCAAACAGAACTTGATAAGCGACGATCCTTTCTAAATTTGATCTAGCAAAAAAAATTCTAAAAATGCATATTCACCAATGAATCACCAAAGGTACGCAAAATGAAGGTTTTGACACTGAAATCATGTATGCAGATGCTGGATCAAACAGGGAATGTCCGTGATAAATGTGTCATGTACAGTGTTGGCTTCATTAAACAGTTTAATTTAGTAAATATATACGGCTTAAAATATCACATTCTAATTTAAGCATATTCTTGCAACACCCACATCAAGCCATATGATTACAGAACTTATAAATAATCCCATTTATCCATCAAAAAAACCTTCTTTTTTTTTTCTCTCCTCTCAACTTACCATCACCATGACTATGTCTGCTCCAACTTCTACCATCATCTATCGCAACAGAATATCTCTCAAGGGCAAAAAACCATACAAGAGTTGGATCAAAGATGGTGTCAATGGTGGCCCTTCTTCCATGGACGTCCTTATTAAATGGCTGTCCTATAGGCCAAACTACAAAAAATGGAGAAGAGAGGACTATTCCATGGATCGAGTACCAAAGAAAGATTTGCTGGAGGAGATCATTGATAAATTACGACAAGTTGGCATATATCATCGCTTAGCAAAAGATGTCGCATCCAAGATATCCACCTTGCAAAGCAACTATCGTTTGACACGCAAATGGAGCGAAACTGAAGGATACAAGATCAAGTATCAAATGGGTGGCGAAAAAGCGCTGCACGGTACATACTATTAGAAACTTGATCTGTTACCAGTTGTGTTCTAACGTCAATCACATAGATGAACTGGTCAAAAGATTCCCCTACTGGGATCATCTACATCCTGTCTTTGGTTTCAGCAACTCTGCCATGGATCTCGATAATTTAGTGCTCAAATCTCCCTCTCCTTCTTCAAGATGTCGTCAAAATTCTAACGAAAGCATTCATTCAGCAACCACTAATACTACAAACGATGATGATTTAGAAAGATTCTTGCATTTCGATAGAAGAAAAGAAATGGAAAGAATGCAGAAATCAAGAGACATGCTCTACGTTCTACGACAAAAGAAACAAGAGAAGCAACGCAGAGAAGAACAACTGTCTTTTCAACACGAGAAGCTGCAGGTTGAAAAAGATTTCATGAATTGCCTGTACAAAGCAGGTTTTACTCCTACTGAGGCTCTATGCTACATCAAGTAACTTTATTTTATATGCCATCATCATTCCACTCCATTCGTCATTGTATTATTTCTCTCACTACTTCATTGTATTATTTTCCTATGTACCTACACCTTGTTTAAATTGCTCGTATGATCCTATCTTTGTCAATAAACTCTTTTTACATACAGCATAATATATTAAAGCGCACTAATTAAGAAAGATGCCAAGGCTTACAATGAACTCTTTTGGTCTTGAAAAAAAAACAGCCTAACCCAATACGATCCTCCTCATCTTTCAAGATCGCCAGGATCGCCTGGGTTAGAGTTACACTCTAGCATAACCATCACTCTTTTTGACGATGTTTACTCATTGCGACTTTACCGGATATTGATTGCAAAAAAGCAAAAAAATTGGCTTGGATTTGACAAAGCGTTGTTTTATAGTATGGCAGGTTGAGAGATACAATCACTCTTTTTAGGACTTCAGAAATAGTTCAATTCTTGTCATGTACACAAAGTTATCACAAGTGTTCTTTGCTGCATTTTCGTCTCTCTTGACCTTGGATTTGCATGTGGGGAAGTACAATAAAGCGTGCATGCTAGATTCAGCTTCATTCTCAACATTGATTCACTGTTTTTGCTTGCAATAGTTGCACATTTAGGACGTTAGATGCTCGTCGATTTTGAATAATTGCATGTCTCAATGGCTTTAAATAAATTTCAGCTGTAGACGCAATAACAAAATGATCAAGGTTGGCTGTCTCCAAAGAAGGTAGTGTGCTGATAAATGAATGGTCTTCTGAATGCTCAGCTTGATGCTTAGTAATGAAGCCTTTGTTCCTAGTCATACCAATGTGCTGATAGTAATCGCTATTTGAGGTTTGGCGAACTCTATTGACATCATCAACAGCAGAGAATAGCGAGCAAACACCAGGATCCATCCCCACCAAATGATAGCTTCATCTAATCTAATGCACATGGATGATTAGAATTTGCTTCAATTCCTCCTCGGTCTTTTTCCTTGTCTATTTATCAAAAAGAGTTGATATCGAATGTCCATCAGTTTGCGCTACGGAGCTATAGTAGAAAGTTTAATGAACAAAGCTCAATAAGCTTATGCTTGAGGTATGCAAAAAAAAGAGGTTTTTTTTTATGAATTACTAGTGTTTATGCTTTGGTGAGAGCCAACCTGCGCAGCGACATCTCGCGCTACCGATTGCCCTTGCGCATCTTATCAACGTACTACTACTTTCATTTTGGCCCTCTACTTACACATGAAAACACTTCATATTATCTGTGGATCTAATTCTTATGTGACGCTGTATATCCCTATACACGTAGCTGCTTTATATACGGGTAAGCAGCATACTGGTATTTCCCCTTCTTAGTCCTTAGTGTCCCTGATACCGCAAAATCTGAGTGCATTTAAGCTGCATTTTCTTGCACTCAAGGTCGTTTTAGATGGTCAGAATAGCACCAAATAATTGCTCTCATCTGGCAGTTACTTTCTGACACCTTTGCTCAACTTTTTGGGGACCAAAAAAGCATGGACAAGAATCGACCAAAAAGCATGAGGTACCCCTCATGGTTTTCATCAAAAATCAAACGATCGCGTTTTTCACCTTGAAAATGGAGACTTTTACTATGGTATATCTTGAATCAAGATGTTTCTATCAATCTAACGTAGCCTCTGAAATCACCTTTGTGACACCTTGATATGTAAAATCTCAACTTTTTGGCCAGAAACCTCTTTTTGTATTTTCATAATTTGTTCAATAGATTTATTCAAAACATTTATATTACTTGGTACAATTGAATGCGCCTTGAAAAATACTCCAAGAAAGCTTAAAGAAGCATTTTTTTTTTTTTTTTTGTAGGGGAGCCGAGCTCCATTTTTTATTTTAAGTCCTTCAAATGTCGCTATGAGTGATAGGAAAGACTGGGTATGATTACAAGAGGATCGGAGGAACGAAAGAAAAAAATAAAAATAACAGATAGAAAAGAGCAAATGGATAAAAGAGGAAAAACTGAATACTTACGAATCTAGCTTTAACTCGGCATCCAAGCGAGCAAGAGAGCGAGCAAGACGATGTTGAACAGTGTCAGCGATGAACGGGGTTCGGTCGAAGATCCAGCGCCAGTGCGCTTGCCATATTGTCAGCAGAGTAGTTGCGAAAAGTTGAGGAATAGAGAGATCATTGAACGAGAGAGAGAGATCACGATCAAGATAGGGAGAGGAACAGAGTAATATTTGTTGGAAGAAATGAATCAGATCAACATCAGAGATTGAGGAAGAAGCAGAGAGATAGGTGTGGTACATGTGTCGCCAGACCAATAACTTGGGAGGGCAGGAGAACAGAGTATGGGTGATATCCTCCGTGGTAGAGGCAGAGCAGATGGTACATAGGGGAGAAGGGTGTTTTTCGGGGATGCGTAAATGTAGCAGAGCTCTTGAAGGGATTTTTTCGTAAATAGCTCGGTACCAGACCGTGCGAGCAGCCAGGGGGATTGAGATTCTCCAGAAGGAGAGCCATTGAGCCGGCCGGAGAGGAGAGAGTGAGGAGGAGGTAGAGGAGAGGGTTTGACGTAGTTTTTTGAAGTAACGGATGCTGTTGAGCGGCAACCGGCCTCGCGAAGGCAAGGAAGAAGGAGGAACGATAATGCTACGGCAGAACGCTCGAAGGGAGGGAGGTTGATGTGGGTTGAGGGTTGGACGAGGAGCAATGAAGCACTGTTGTGCAAAGAAAGGTTGGAATAGTAGTTGACGCGACTGAATGAAATCAGCAACACGTTGGGATACAATAGGATGGCGAGCGAATTGGAAGGAAGGACGAACACGAAGCACCTGATGATCAATATCTAACTGGAAAACCTCGCTTACAAGAAGCTTTCTGGCAACGTCAGAGCCATCTAAAAGAAGATTCGGTGGTATAAAGCTAGAAGAATATAAATTGTTAATAGTAGGAGGAGAATGTAAAAGTATTTCATAAAGAGGGAGTGAGTAGCAAGTAATAGCATCAACATATAAGTTACGACGTTCTGACATCTGAAAGATGGACAAGCAGGACTGAAGATTAGTGATTGGATTGAGATAAGTATTGCGACGGGATGGACTTTGAGGAAACCACAACCGATGGCGAGCATGCCGAAACAAGAGGTAGTAAAAGAAATGAGAGAAGACGGTGGAGGAGTAGCACCAAGAAAGAGTATAAGTTAAGACAGGAAGCGAAGGAGTGTTGTACTTGGAGAAGGCCGGAGAGTCAAGATATTGAAGCAATAGAGGGCACACCCAGTACCATTGCAGAGCTTGTTGTTGAGAGAGAGGATCTAGGAGCCCCAAACCACCGGCAGAGCGAGGTAAAGAGAGAGTAGCAAAAGAGAGTCTAGGGAATATACGAAAATTAATGAAGGCGGTACCCAGGCTTCGTAAAGAGAGCAACTGGGCCTTGGTAAATGTTGTGAGTCGTAAAACATGCCATAATTTGGAATAAATGAGTGAATTGAGAATGGTGACCCGGCCACGGATAGAGATATTGCGTTGGGAGTGGATAGCAATAGCGTTACGGATGGAGTCATACAGTTTTTGAAAGGCAACATTGCGTTGAGTAATGCTGGAACAAATTGGATAACCGAGATAAATGAGTGGAGTGGTGGATGTGCGATCATGCCAAGCGGTGATGCCATAAGATGAGAGCAGGGCTTGCCAAGTTGTTGATGGTTTACCTGAAAGAGATGTAGCTACTGTTTTGTGATAATTCAATAATGCGTTAGAAGCTTTCATGTAAGTAGTGATGGCAGCCTGCAAACGATGGAAATCGTGCGTGTCGCGAAGATACACCAAAGTATCATCCGCATAGGCAAGGATTTTGACCGCCAGAGGCGCAGTTGTAGAAGAAGCTGAAGAAGTTGAACCATCGGGAACAATGGGCGGGTCAGCAGCATCAGAAAACAGTTGTTGCATAGAATCTGAAATAACATCAGATTGGGTATCATTAGAAGGGGGAGGAGCTTCAGTGTGTAGGTTGAAACCCTTGTATTGAGGGTCTTGGTGAATTGATCGAAGGAATGGATCAAATGCGATATTAAACAGTAGTGGCGAGATGGGATCTCCTTGTCGAATACCACGTTGTTGGGTGATATAATCAGTCGAGATATGTCCATTGATGTTGATGTGAATTTGTGTCGAAAAAAAGAGAGTTAGTAAGGAATGAATAATATTAGTAGGCATGTTAAAACGTTGCATCACAGCACGAAGATAATCAGGATGAATGCGATCGTAAGCCTTCTCTTGATCCAAGAGAAGTGCAATACTGTCAGAGGATGTTTCAGCGGCAATGAGGCGAGTGTTGTGGAGGATCATACCATTGTCACCGATGAAGCGACCAGGCATGAATCCTGATTGTTGAGGACATATGATTTTGTTCATAAAAGGCATAAGACGTTGGTTGAGAAGTCGGGTAAATATCTTGGCATCGCAACATATCAATGATAGAGGTCGCCAATTCTTGAGGTTGGATAGGTCGCCGGATTTGGGTAGTAAACAGATGCAGGTTTGCAACCAGCTGGAGGGAAAGATACCCAAGTTGAGAGCATCATTAAATACCTGAACAGAGAGTTTGGCAGCCTTCGGGTGGTTGAAAATCACGTTGAGAATGGGATAAGGTAAACCGTCGATGCCAGGACTGGATTGGAACTTGGTACGATGAGTACCAGTCAATAAGTCGGCATAGGTGAAAGGTTGCTGAAGAATAGTATGAGCATCATCCGGGATGGTGTCAGAGTCAGGGATCGTGTTGCACAGGGACTCGATGCTCGCGATATCGACCGGATCACTGGAATACAACGTGTCATAGAAACTAGAAGCAGCTGTCTGCATCGAAAGAGGATCAGTACATAATGTGTTACTAACTGGATGGAGGAGGCTAGTAATCGCCTGTTTAGCGGCATGAGTGGCAATAGTTCGCTTAAGGTAACCGGCAGAGGTTTCCCCCTTTTCACGCCAATGTTTACCTGCCCGCAATCGTAGGTTCGTAGCAATTT